CCTGGGTTTCGACCGGACTTCGTCCAGACTGCGGCCACCCCTGGTCACCCTGTTTGGCCAGACTTGCTCCAGATGTCGTCCAGGTGTCGACCAAATCTGACGAAATCCCAACCAACTCCCCAAAACCGTGGGTCATTCTGGAACACTCTGAAGCTCTGGTCGGCGACTCCGAAGGGTGTGGTTTGCAGAGGGTGTGGTTTGCAACCGGCACCCTAGGGGGCACCCAGGGAGGCGGGCGAGGACCTCAACAGAACTCTCCGCCGCGCCCCGAGGAGGCCCGAGGAGGACAGTGTCGTAGCACGCAGGCCCTAACGGCGCCGATCGCAAGCCACACCCCAGCGTCACCATACCCTTTGTAGCCGCTGATCTGGGCGGCAGAAGCGGGAGCGGCGCCGCTGGCGCCGGGGGACCGGCCCGCCGGGTGGTGGCCTTCCAGGCCGCGACCCACTGCTCCGCCACCCTCAGGGCCGCCGCCTCGCAGAGAGGCGAGCCGGCACGCCAGGTGCCGGCCAAGTCGTCGTCCGTCGCGGCCGCCGCCCTCGTCGTCGTCGCTCGTCTGGTGGTCGTCGGATGTGCGTCATCACGCGTCGCGACGCGTCGCCACGCGTCGCCGTGCCTCATCCGTCGGCGTCTGTGCCGTCGTCGTCGTCCTTGTCGTCGTCGTCCTCCTGCTGCTCCTCATCGTCATCTCTACCACTACGACTTTCACCGTTCCCTACGCATCTTTAGTCCTCCTGCTCCCAGCCATCATCAACCCACCTCCTCCTCCTGATTATAGCCATCATCCCCATATAAATACTGTCATGATAATTGTCATCATGGGCATCGTCGCAGTCATCCACCTCATCACCACCACCAGCATCAGCATCATCAGGATCATCAGCCTCATCATCATCATCATCATCATCATCATCATCATCATCATCATCATCATCATCATAATAATCATCATCATCATCAGCATCATCAGCATCAGCATCAGCATCAGCATCAGCATCATCATCATCATCATCATCATCATCATCAGCATCATCATCATCATCAGAGTCGCCGTATGGGCTCGAGGTTCTCTTGAGCGACAGGCTCATCCGAGCAGTCACTCTTTCTGCATCGGGCTCTTCAGTATGCAGATGTCATGATGACCACTCTCGGCATCAGCCATGGTCTGTTGCTACTGATGGTGCTGTGGCGAAGTGTCAACGCGGCTGCAGGTCCGTACTGGCGTTCCTGGCAGTTCAATCCTTTGGCGGCCTCGACACGACCGAGGCTTGAGGACACGGAGGCAGTCTCGAAAGATATGTGCGCGGTCGCTCTTGTTGGCACACACTCTCGTGTACGTGGCATTCCTGTACAACGGCGCTACACTGGGGGCAGGCTCCTGATAGAAGCTGGATGGACGAGGGGAGCTAGTTGTGCCAATCGCTCGTGTGGGCTCTCGGTTCTCCTGCATTGCATGCTAGATTTAAGGAGCATCGTGTTCGGAGTGTGAGGGGAGGCCCAGTTGAGCTTACTGGTCGATGCTTGGCGACACGCATTCAGAGCAAGAGCGATGGTGTCACCTTGATGTGTACGTATTTCCCGCCTCGAGCCACCCAGGTTAGGCAGCAGGCGCAGGACAAAGCTCCGGTGGACAAGCTGATACGATGACTTCAGGGTGAGCTCGCTCGCTGTCCTCAGAGATCTACACCAGTTGTGCTGAGGGGCCTCCATGATGGCGTTGGGATCAGGAAGGGGAAGATCCACTTGTGATTGGAGATACGGCTACAGTACCATCGATTGGCGCATCGCTGGAACACTATGCTGGTGCTGTCTTCCGAGAGGTGATGGAGACCCACTTCATGGAAATTGTATCGATGAGGTCTTCTACGCCAACTTTCTATGGAGATGGGAGTCAGCCCATTGTTGATTATATAGCTATCCCGCAGGCTTTGTCGTCGGCGGTTACCCTGAGCGGATCTTTGATAGGAAAGGGTCGTAGACTTCAGCTGATATCGACGGCACGGAGGAAGGATCACGTACCTGCCATGGTCCAGCTGCGACGACCTCAGGGGCCTGTTGCTGGCGAAGTTCGAGGGCCTGCTCCTCCTGACTCCACGGGTGGCCAGCGATTGGACAGCGGTGCTATGATGACGGCGATGAAGGGCAAATACAAGCAGCGAGATTGTCTTGACGAAGTGGAACGGATAATGGAGAGGTCTCAGGAGCAACGGCAGCAGTTTGCACAGTTACCTATCCTGATCAGCTCTTTGAGTTCCTGGAGCGCGTGCTTTGGCAGGCGGGTGCGAAGTGCTTACTGCAGGCAGGTGCAGTGGTTAGAGGACGGGGCAAGCGTGAGCATGAGCGTAGTCAACTGCTCCGTGAGAGGCGAGAGGTGCGACAGCGGCTTGGAGGAGCGGCTGATGATGATGATGAGTTGGAGGCTGCCGTATCTGCCAAGATCACGGATCTCACGAAGATGCTCAGGAAGATGGGCAAGGAGGAGTTCGAGGCGACGAGGGCGGCTTTCTCTGTGAAGATGCAGGAGGCATGGAGGATACGAGATATGTATGGAGTGGCTAAATATGCGCGACTGGCTGCTGGATGTAGAGAGGGGCCAAAACACAGGCATCAACTCACGCTACGGACGGCCATGCCCACTGGCAACGAGCAGGTGGACTTCTGGCGTGCGGAGGGCAGCGACGGCGGCATGCGGGCGCGCGGGCTGTTTGTGTGGCCTGCAGGACCTGAGGTGGAGGGACCGCTGCTGGACATGAGCATGCAGGATGACGCGACGGAGGATGTGAGAAGGCCCAGCCGTGCCTTGAGGCGCACGGCAAAGCGGACGGCGGGGCCGGCCTGGTCGGCGCCTGGCGAGCTATGGGACATGGCGCTCAACCGTGGAGCTGGAGTTCGACCTGGACAGCGTCGAGGAAAGCTTGGAGCTGGGGAGGTGGGACGGCCAACCTTGCATCTCACGCGTGCTGTCTTCCTTGGTTGTCTGCGCATTCGGACGGCTGCACGTTGTCCTCGATACTGGAATTGTAGCCGCACAACGGAGTTGCCTAAGACCTGTGATGAAGGACCGAAAGACAAGCGGTGGAGTCATCTTTTACCGCAGATTGGTAAGTCTTGGTTTCCTTCGCAGCATTCGTATGGAGCCCTCGGTGCATGGCTACCAGAAGGAACGTTGCAAGGAGACGCCTCTTCTAGTCAGCAATGTGATTGCTTGGCGAGCGCGAGAGGAGTAGGAGGAGTCTTGGCAAGCAATTATTTGATGTGACGAATGCCCTTGGTAGACAGCTGATATTCTGAATGAAGGATCGGTTCGAAGTGCGGCTCGGCAAGGAGTGGAACAACCACATAGTTCTGTTCCCAGCAGTGGTACCGATCTGTTTCTCAGGCCGCAAGCTGGTGGCCTCATGGGCGACCAGTTCATGGTGGCAGCGTGGACTTGGGCGTTCCAGCCTGCCTTGGCTGTATGGCGACATCGAGAAGCTGTGTGGGGACTGGGATCTGAGGAGCTTCATGCCAGCTGTTTTCTCTTGCCTGGCCGCGTGGGTCCTTCTCTCTGTCAGTATGCGGATGACCTGCATCGGCTGCATCTAGGACGTGCAGGGGATCGGGTTGAGTCTCTGCCACCTGCAATGTGGACTGTTTCTTCCTTATTTTCGGAAGCCTTGCTCGAGGACGGTAGCATGCGAAACACCATAAAGCAGATTGGAATGCTGAGCTTAATGGGGGAGGGGGCTTACCAGGGTTGTCGCAAAATCCAGCGTCGCGAGGTTGCGTTTTTTCAGGACAACTGGTCCCAGCAGGTCGATAGATAGGGGCACAGATTGTGGCTGAGTGGCGTCCTGGTGTGGCTTACTCGAGAGAGATGGGGGCTAGGAGGGCGGCTGTCTATCGCACGTACTACGCCCAGGGAGGCTTCTGGTGCCTCAAGGGGGTCCCCTACAGGTTCAAGAGGGCGATGCTCATTGGGGTCGTCCTGGGCACGGCGGTTCAGAACCTTGAGGCGTTCCTCCCAACGGAGGCACAGGTAAGAAGGCTTAGTTCGGTCTTGGACTCGCTGTGTAGGAAAGCGCTCCTGGGGCAGGCTCATAGAGTTGAGGGTGAACAGCATTCGTCCTGGACGTCGGATCGTGTTCGAGCCTTCTGTAGAGTTCCGTCTGTTGAGGTTGGGCTTCGAGTTCGTCGGTTAAAACGTCTCCAGCAGATTGCCTCGTGTCCTGGAAATCATCAACACTTGTTAGCAACAACTTTCGGGATGCTGCCTTTTGAGACGGAGGAGACCGTGTGTTGCTCGGAATGCCTGAATTCGTCGGCGAATCCATGGGCGCGAAGGGCTTTAGAGGATGTCCAGAGCTTGCACGTCCTGGGGGACTCTGAGTTGCTCCTGCGGGAGCTGACGGAGGGCGGCTGGTGCATCGGTAAGCTCTTCGGGGATTCGGAGGTTCGCTCGGAATTCGTGAAGTTGGATGTGTCGGTGCTTCGTGGTCTGGACGTCCAGCGTGCTAAAGATCATCCGCAGGTGAATCAGAGGCCCGTGGTGGTTTTAAAGGCGGCCCCTGGAAGTGTTACTCTTTGACTGAGGGCGTGGAGTGTCGGTGGAGTTTTGCTACATATAAGAAGCCGTTTACAAACATACAGCGGCATCACAAGCAGGTGGATGTAAGGTCGAGCCTTGTAGTCACAAATTAATGCCATGTGTGTCGCGATGAGGCACTGGCACCCCCACCCGAGAAGAGCATCAGAGCCGCTCATTTTCCGAATGCCAAATCGACGGGCATGCCGGGCGCGGGGCGCTCCATCCCTCTCGGTGGAGGCTCCGGCCCCCGTGGCACGCAGCAGTGAAACCAAGCAGGGCGGGCGGGCGGACAGCGAGAGCCACGCGTCAGCGCTAGAGCCAAAATGGCCGCGGACGGTGCGAGTATGCCCGCCGCAGGCGCCCAAGTGCCACTCGCACTAAACATAATGCACTCGGCACTGGCACCCCCACCCGAGAAGAGCATCAGAGCCGCTCATTTTCCGAATGCCAAATCGACGGGCATGCCGGGCGCGCGGCGCTCCATCCCTCTCGGTGGAGGCTCCGGCCCCCGATCGCCCCCGCCGCCCGGCACTTCCACGCAGCCCCTGAAGCAACGGGCGCATGCGACTCGGTGCTCACACGGGGCCATGGCGTGCGCAGCCAGCCCGAACCTCCAGCCACACCGCGTCACCCAGGCAGCCGCGGGCATGGAGGGCGGCCCGACGAGGACAGCGTGCAGGACGCCGGGCTCGCGGTTGAGCACCTTCCCGACCGGGCTGCTCCTGCTGGCGCAGGTGGACGTCAGCTGCTCATCCGCCTCTCGGCGAATCACCGCATCCTGTAGTTCGCAGCGTAGCGACTGGCGCCCCAGCTCGGAACGCACCTCGCCGAGCACCATGTCGACGAGATCCTCCGGGGTCGGCCGGCCGCGGCGGAGCTCCCCGAGCTCGGATAGCAGGTCCGCGACCTGGCCCAGCACAGACTCGAGGTCGAGGCTGCTGCCGGCGCGCCTGGCCCACTCAGCGGCCGTGTCCAGCGATGCCTCCCGCACGCACCCCTGGACGGCGGATGAGCCCCAGCGCCCCAGGAGTTGAATTGCCCACAGGTCGACTCCGAGGCGTGCCAGGCCTTGCGCCCCAGTGGGGCGAAGGCTGTGGCCCCCGACGCGCTCGGAGCCGTCTGGCGTCGCCGCTGGGACGCCGAGGGAGCTGGCCGCGTGGAGGATCCCAGAGGATCCAATCCGACAATTTGGGTCTATCCCTACAATTCTGCGTTGTTTCAGGGATGTTTTATGTTTTCCCGAAATACATGTTCGTCGGCGCGATACTCCCGAATAGGACTTCCGGAGTCCCGCTTTGTTTTTTTTCCGGAAACATGTGGCCCCTACACACATATGTATATATATATGTGTGCTTATATACATATACATATATATATATGTTTGTATATATATATATATATATATATATATATATATATATGTATACATATATATATATATGTGTATATATGTATATGTGTTTATACACATATATGCATATTCTACGCCCCTACATATACACATACATACTTGTATATATGTACCGTTATGTGTATATATTGTGTGTATGTGTATACATGTAAATCTAATGTGAATCTATGTATACATTTACATATGCATATGCATATGCATGCACGTGTATGTGTACTTGCAGCGTACAAACATACATACACACACATACATACATACGTACACATACACATGCATACGTATACACTTACATACATGCATGCATGCATACATACAAACATACATGTGTATACATACAGGCGCATACATGTATGTATGTACATGTACAACAGTTGTGCACTTATGCATACATACATGCATACGCATACATATATATGTGTGTATGCACATGTACACATGCAAATGTGTAAGCATATGTACACATCATATAGACCATCGTAACCGAGATTATCGCAACTGTGCGCGTATGATATAGTAAACCGCAACGTGTTATAATTAGATGGGGGTCGGGATTATAAGGGGAGGAGGGGGAGGAGCATCCTGACGGGAACAGCGTGGTCAAGTCTAGAACTGCTGACGCGCATCTTCGGGGAGGTCACGTATCCCGTTTGGTTCTCCCTCCCTTCTCCTCGTCCCCCCCATCACCCCTCCTGTTCCTTTCCATCTTTCGTCACCTGGAGTGTGATCGTCGGAATCCACATCATGGTCAACATCGCCATCATCATCGCGTTTTCCTCCCGCCTCGTTTTCCCATCTGCCTCTCCCGCCTCCTCTCATCCATCATCCCCATCATCCCTCCTGTGCGTGTATGCCTTGTTTTCCTCATCATCTAGAGTAACGGGCTTACAAATCACTGGCTCGAGATCGCGACACCAGGCTGCTGAGACAAAGGGAGATGTTGCAAGGATGGGAGGGGGGAGACGTATGAGTATACCTGGAAGGGGGTGGTAACGGAGAACCGAAGCGATGAGGAGGTAGTTGGAGGTGGCGGAAGATGCGAGCGAGTGCACAACAGTTGGATGAACATGATATGGATGGCGATTGCGACCCATTATCCATCAGACTTCAGCGAACGAGTACCTGTACTTATCCACAAGGGCCGTATGCAGCGTGTTAGGATGCAGCCCCTCAGCAATCGCAGCACACACGCCGATGCCCGACTCATCAGCGTATCCCCAATGATCCTGATCGGAAGAATACACGCACTTGGCCGACACCATGTCCAATCATATGGTTCATGTGTCTGTCATTCGTGCGTCGTGCATGTGTGTGTGTGTGTTTGTGTGTGCGTGCGTGCGTGCGTGCGTGCGTGCGTGCGTGCGTGTGTCGCGGGGTCCCCTTCTTATGTTTGGGGGGGGATGGGGCACGCACGTGGTCGACGCATTCGTGTTCAATACTGTGGCTGATGTGTATGTCGTGTGTGCGTCGTGCGTGTCGTTGGGCCCCCGCCATATATGTCGGGGTGGGGGGGGGGCGCAAATGGCCGACGCAATTTTCAGTCAGGTGGTTGGATGGTCTGTCATTTGTGCGTCGCTTGTGACGCTGGGTCCCGTTCAATGTGTTTTTACGGGGGTGGGACGCGCAATTGGCCGACACAATTTTCAGTCATATGACAGATTTTTATGTCACGTCGCGTGCGCTTGGGGGGGGGGTCCCGTGGTTGGGGGATGAGGAAGAGGAGGGATGAGGTGAGACACCATGGTCCGTACGATACGTACCCTACATGGTCTCATTAGCTCACGGTGGCGATGTGTATTTGAGGGCGCGTATCGTAGGACTTCAGGTGGTGGAGGCGGGGGATAGGGATGCGTTCGCCCGTGTGATCCGCTGGGTTGCCGGGGGATGCCTCCTCAACTATCTCCAGGAATATATGATGTTTAACCTCCAGCACATGGTGTCCAGGGCCTCGTACCCCATGGCCCTGTAGAGCAAGAGGTGCCTGCGACCAAACTCTGACAGTCGCTGAGGGCTCACGTCGCAGTCCCAGGCTGCCATCTCCTCGTAGCAGCGCGAGAGAAACTCTATGCAATTCAACCTACAGGCAAGCGCAACTGAAACCCGAGATGCCAGCAGAACTAGCACGCGAGGGGGCTCGAACTAAATCAACAGCCTGCACTTGGGTGTGGCACATTCCTGCCCCGCCCCACCTGGTGCGCGCACGAACGGAGTCGCACTTCACAAGGTGTCGCAGCAGATGTACGAGCACTGGAACCAGGTACCGACTCTCGGCCGCTTTGGACTTAAGTTTGGGAGCTTTCGTGGTCTTATTCCTGAACATGGTTACCGCCAGCTTATTGAACGGAGGGTCGGTACCGATCGAATGAGCAGAAATCGCAATCAAGTTGAGCAACTTGGTCTCTGCCTGTGGCCCCATGTTCACCCTCGCCTGTTGACTGCACCCCCCCCTCACCCTCACCATCTTCCGTCCCTCGTGATCGTGCTTGTCATGGTCCTCCTCATCCTCCTCCTCCTCCTCCTCCTCATCGTTGTTATTGTTTGAACATGCCCGTTGCCTCCGACGGCGTTGCACGCTTCCCGCCGAGTTCGAGAAACAGTTCCCACAATATGTTCCCACACGCTTCTTGTGCAACCCCGAGGCAACCTGCATGCATCATGCCTGGACGCAAGTAGTTCCAGGTAAACCCAGGAACCAGCATGGGGCTGAAATCCAAATCACCGTCCCCCTGTCGTGCAAGTTCCAAGTATCTCTTTGGGGTGTACAGGTCTCTACGCCAACCAGCGAAAAGATCAAAATTGGGAAGGTCGGCAACAGTGCACGGGCATCTAAAACAGATTTTGGCAGTACTCGGTCCACCCCGCCACCCCTGCACTCCGAACACTTGCTTGTACCAAGCCCAGTCCCCCCTGAAGTCGATCAATACACCCCTCACCTGCATGGCTTGTCCAGCTCTGGCCGAGCGGAGCTTGTCGCCGCGAAATGGCGACCTGGAAAAGGGGATCTGGTCGTGGCGCACGCTAGGCCATTTCCCAGTAAGCCAATAGCTGCACATCCACCCAAGCACCGCCCACACCTCGGGGTGCGTGCGGCGGGGATCGGATGTCTGGCGAGCGGGTGGTCAGTGGGGTTCCGTTCGCGTGCATGCACGCGCAACACAACCGACCACCATCATGCAAGCATATATGCTTGCACGCGTTTGATTTGATGGAATCCGCTATAGTGGGCCCAACTCAAAACAACCGTGTGGTGGGATGATGGTGGTCGGGTGCGTTGCTACGCATGCCGATCGGATGCACCCGCGACCGAGCATTTCAAACACCGCACCTGCTTAAATGTGCATCTGCCATGGCATCCGCACTGGCAAACACTGCGCTGCCCAAAGCAGACGAACCACCATCGATCTCGGCACCTGTGGACTGGCATTGAGTGCGGAAGCAGGAAGGAGTTGGAGGCGGACTGTGGGGAGGAGGGGAGCGACGGGGGCGGAAGGAGATATGGAGGAGAGTGGGGATATATTTGCATACCCCCACCTCCCAGTCAGTGCCGTGAGGGTCCACAGGTAGACCGAGTCGCGGGTGTTGTATGGCGCGCCATCTCCCCATGAACCACATACTACGAGATTTGTCGGATCGACATCTGCGCCAATCCGCTCCAAGTACTCATGCACTGCTGGACGCAACGGCTCCTGATCGCAAATCCGACCCCGACGCAAACAACATAAAAATATGTCACGTGACAGATTTGTATGCCACCTTCATCCGTGAACCCACCCATTGGACGGATCATCTGCGTCACATCATCATCATCATCATCATCATCAGCAGCATCATCAGCAACATCATCAGTGCCATACACATCGTCACCACCATCAGCATGTTCGAACTCCAGAGCTCATCATCATCACCACCACCATCATCATCGTCATCTTCATCACCATCGCCGTCACCATCGTCGGCATCATTAGTCATCACCATCATCATCATCACAAGCATCATCCAGTCCACCCAACGTCGATCCCCATACGAGTCCTGACGCGGGTCGTAAGATGTCCAGTCTGATATTGCAGAGCCTGCCGAAATCTTCGCATCGAGCACCTCTGTCAGCAGCAAAAAATTCACAGTTCGAACTACTTGGGCACCAGCCCGTCGATCCCAAAGCGGTACGCGTGCCTGATACGGTGCTGGCATCCACGTTTTCTGGCGAGGGCGGTAACACATTGAAAGTTGATGTCACCCCACGCGGTCCAGGCAGTCGAGACTACAGTTGACACCGTAGCATCACTCAGCAATCCGATTGACTGAAACGCGTGGAGGTGGCCAGTCAGTCGGGGGAGGGGCATGGTTTTTATGTGTCAAGCAACTGTCCTTCTCGAGCTTCCTGCCCAAGTCCCTCAGCGCGTTCTGTCGTGTTGTTTTCTTAGCGCCGACTCGGCCCCACGACCCCAACGCATCGCACCGTACATCATCAGCCACGCTTGCACGTGCACCAGCGCCAACTTCGATCGAGCTGAGCCTGTTCCTAGCCCAGAGACGGTGCAGAAACTTGCTGGTCTCGCCTGAGTGCTGCTGCTGTCGATGATGCTTCCATCGCTGCCGCACTCCTGTCCGCTTGGGAGGCATGTGGGCTCCAAAACTGGGTCCTGATCCGAAACTGCGACATGTCCCGAGCGTGCGAATGCGAAATTCTAGAACGACCAGTGGCACGATTTGCGTTATATGATGTACATTGTTGTGCCCCTG